GGCAGCTTGCTAGCTTTTAAGATCCCAGTTGCTACTCACCAAAGTAGGAGGTGGAACAATGTTTTGTATAGTATGTTATGCCAATTGAGCTTGATGTCATGGTACAATTTTTGAGGATGGTTTTGAAAATCTGATCAGTGGCCATGAGAAAAGAATTAATTTACTGACTTTTGGTTGGACTTGTTTCTATTTTGCACATACTATTATATTTCACTTCTCAAAGAACTGGCCATTGAAAACCTTATGAATAACAGTGAAACACTGTCTGATATATATATATAGTACTGGAAAACTTTATTAACAGCCCTGAAACATTTTCTGATATAGTGCCAGAAGATGAGCCCCCTCAGGTCAGAAGGCACTCAAAATATGACTGGGGAAGAGCTGACTCATCATAGTACAGCTGACCTTAATGATGTGGATGGAAAAAAGCTTTAAGGACCTCCATTTGCTGATGTGGCACATTCAAAATGGAAAGAAACAACTGCAAACATCCATTGATAATTGGAACATGGAATATAAAAAGGATAAATCTAGAAAAATTGAAAGTTGTCAAAAATGGACTGGTTTTGGCCATTTTGAATCAGACAGCCATATGACCTACTATGCTGGGAATTACAAATTGAAGAGGAATGGCATGCTTCATTGCCAAAAAGAATGTCTCAAGATCTATCCTGAAGTACAATGCTTTGAGTGATAGGATAATATCTGTATGCCTACAAGGAAGACCTGTTAATACTACTATTATTCAAATTTACCCATCAACCACCAAAGCCAAAGATGAGGAAACTGAAGATTTTTCCAACTTCTGCAGTCTGAAATTGACCAAACATGCACTCAAGACGTGTTGATGATCACTGGTGATTAGAATGCAAAAGTTGGAAACAAAAAAGAATTACCAGTAGTTGGAAAACATGGCCTTGGTGATAGAAATAGCACTGAAGATGGCGTGATAGAATTTCGTAAGACCAAGAACTTATTCATTGCAAATACATTTTTTCAACATAAGTGGTGGCTATACACGTGGACTTCTCCAGATGGAGTACACGGGCATCAGATCAACTACATCTTTGGAAAGAGGCAATGGAGAAGCTCAGTATCTTCAACCAAAACAAGGCCAGGAGCTGATTGTGGAACAGACCATCAACTGCTCATATGCAAGTTCAACTTGAAGTTGAAGACAATTTAAAGAAGTCCACAAGAGCCAAAATATGACCTTGATTATATCCCTCCTGAATTTAGAGACCATCTAAAAAACAGATTTGAAGCAATGAACATCAATGACCAAAAACCAGGGAACTGTAGTATGACATCAAGAACATTACCCATGAAGAAAGCAAAAGGTTATTAAAAAGACAGGAAAGGAAGAAAAGACTAAAAGGGATGTCAGAAGATACTCTGAAACTTGTCCTTGAATGGAGAGTAGCTAAAGCAATTGCAAGAAATGAAAAGATAAAAGAGCTGAACACAAGATTTCAAAGAGCAGCTCGAGAAGACAAAGTCAATTATTATAATGAAATGTGCAAAGGCCTGGAGTTAGGAAACCAAAAGAGAAGAACACGCTCAGCATTTCTCAAGCTGAAAGAACTGGGGAAAAAATTCAAGCCTCAAGTTGCAATATTGAAAAATTCTATGAGCTAAATATTGAATGATGCAAGAAACATCAAAAGAAGATGGAAGGAATACACAGAGTCACTGTACCAAAAAGAATTGGTTGATGTTCATCTATTTCAGGAGGTGGCGTATGTTCAAAAACTGATGGTATTGAAGGAAGAAGAACTTGATGGGACTGCCTTGATTTTCTGGATCTTGCAAGTTTTCCACCTTGAATTCAGTGCAGTCTTCCCACTTTTTTATTTCTCTCTAACCAGAAGGCTGGCGGTTCAGACCCACCAGCCACTCCTTGGAAGGAAGATTGGGCAGTCTATTTCCATAGTAATACCGCCTCAGAAACTCAAGGAGGGGTCACTGTGAGTTGGATCTAACTTGACAGCAGTAAGTTTGAGAGTTGAGTAGTAGAAAATATTTGAGTTTTCTTTCTCTGATAGGCTTCCACCTTACACAGCTCTGACTTTTGCAAGTTTTACTATAAATGTACTATACTAACATTTTTAATCCTACAAAAACCTTATAAAGTATTTTTTATCATCCCCATCTTACAGATGAGAAACTGGGCCTTGGACATTTTAAGAGTGAGTAAGGTTGAGATAAATAATGACTGTTGTTGTTGTTTGCCGTCGAGTCAGCCCCGACTCATAGCGACCCCTCCTTGGGTTTCTGAGGCAGTATCACTACGGAAGTAGGATTGCCCAACCTTGAGGAGTGGCTGGTGGGTTTGAACCGCTAGACTTCTGGTTAGCAGTCAAGTGCTTTTAGCCACTATGCTACCAGAGCTCCCAAATGACTAGGGGCATTTTTACATGCTGTCTGTCATCTAACTTTGATATGTGAATTTAAAATTATATAATTGCCTGAATTGTTTAAAAGGCCCCAAACTGTTAGCTCATGTTGAACCACTAATTTTAATAAACATACATTTCAGAAAGAAATCAGAAAACAATGACTCTAACAAATACCAGTTCTTTGTTCCAAACTCCTAAAAGTTAAACAAATGTATGTCTTCTGTTCTTCTGTAGCTCCCAAATGCCTAATCTAATGTATTACATTCAACAACTGCTTAATAAGTGCTTACTGAATTAGCTAGTACGAACTTTGCATGCATGTATGCAGATGCATTACTATGAAGTATGAATCTTGAAACTTATCAATAAGGCAAAGGAGCACTTGTGGCTTAGTGCCTAAGGCATTTGACTGCTAACCAGAAGGTTGGCAGTTCAAACCCACCAGCCACTCCACAGAAAGAAGACTGGGCAATCTTCTTCTATAAAGATTTACCGCCTTAGAAACCCAAAAGAGGTAGCTATCAGTTGGAATCGAGTCGATGGCAATGAGTTTGGTTTTTCACTTTTGGTTTATCAATAAGGCAAATCTCTTTCCAACTAATGAAATTGTTTGAATTATTATGTAATAACTACCAATTTTATCTGTATTATATTCATTTATTTGGAAAGGTCATATTTGCAATTTTTAGAAAAATTCATAGTTTGGTAATGTAATTCATTTTGCAAAATAATGACGTCAGTAACATAAAATGTCATTAAGTCTTTGGCGAATTGCTGGACAGTAGTATGTAATTTTGTTTGGCTTATCGTAGAGGTGAATAGAACTAGTAGCAAAGAGAGACTGATCATGCTCCAGGGCCATATATCCTTCTAGGCATTTAGAAACCCAATTAATTAAATCACAATATATCCATAATATATGGCATATTTTAAAGAAAACTGCTATAATTATAAAACTGTTTATTGTTCCACATATACATTACCATTTCTTAGAAAGGATCTTCGTGACTGTCCTCCATTAAGTGGAGGTAAGGTCTTCTTTTCCTGGCTGACAAATGTATCCCATTTCACCTTGTCACAGCCGCCTAGTTCCTTGACTTTCTGTAAACAACTTTCCAAGTACTCTACTGGGTCTTCAGGCTTAGAACACATCAGTCCATTCAAAAGGCTCTGAAATACAACCACAAATATGCCCAAGTAAAATATGTTTTAGAACCACTTTAAGAGTGTTATGTCCCATCTTTGAATCTGAGTTGTGTATGTTCTTCTTAAAGATACCGCCTCAGAAACTCAAGGAAAGGGTGACTATGAGTCAGAACCAACTTAATGGCAGTGAGTTTGGTTTTGGAGTTTTTGTATTCGTCTCATCTGCATTTTAATAAACAATCAGATTTGAAACTGAGTAAGTAAGATAACTCCTCAAATTCTTGATCAATTACAGTATTTTTTGCATTTAATGCACCATGTAAATAACATACACATGCATATAACTCACATAGCACACATAGGTGACTAAGTGGGAGGGGACTGCATGGTTTGGAAAAACATAGCATGAACACGTTATTCAGTTTGGGGCCTTTTAAACATTCAGGCAATTATATAATTTAAAATGCACATATCAAAGTTAGATGACAGACAGCATGTAAAAATGCCCCTAGTCATTATTTATCTCACCCTTACTCACTCTTAAAATGTCCAAGCCCCAGTTTCTTCATCTGTAAAATGGGGATAATAAAAAAATACCTTATAAGGTTTTTGTAGGATTAAAATTGTTAACGTTTGTATAGTACATTTACAGTAAAATTGCAAAAATCAGAGCTGTGTAAGGTGGAAGCCTGTCAGAGAAAGAAAACTCAAATATTTTCTACTACTCAACTCTCAAACTCACTACTCAAGTTAGATCCAACTCACAGTGACCCCTCCTTGAGTTTCTGAGGCGGTATTACTACGGAAATAGACTGCCCAATCTTCCTTCCGAGGAGTGGCTGGTGGATCTGAACCGCCAGCCTTCTGGTTAGAGAGAAAAAAAAAAAAGTGGGAAGACTGCACCGTATTCAAGGTGGAAAACTTGCAAGATCCAGAAAATCAAGGCAGTCCCATCAAGTTCTGGCTCTAACAGGTTTCACTGTATCAGTGCCTGGTACATGGTTAAGTGCTCATTAGAAATTTCTTCTAAGGCCCCAGGTTGGATCCCTCCTCTGTGTTCCCATGATACTCAGCATAAAATGTCATAATTGTCATTTTTTCTGAAACAATTTGCTTTCTGTGTCAAGTTTCCTCTTCTAAACTATAAACTCTTCAATAGCACAGAGTGGGTTTTCTTTATCTTTCAATCCCTAGCACCTGAAACTTTCTTTGACACACAGTAGGAGTATACTGAACTGTTTTCTGATTAGGAGAAAAAAAAATCATGAACAAAGTGCTATTTCCTATGTAATTAGTGACCATAATATCCATTGAGATTAAATAGCAAAAAAAAAAAAAAAATGTATGATCTTGTTATGAGCTCTAGTAGCGTAGTGCCTAAGGCACTTGACTGCTAACCAGAAGGTTGGTGGTTCAAATCCACCAGCCACTCCTCGGAATGAAGATGGAGCAATCTACTTCCGTAGTGATACTGCCTTGGAAACCCAAGGAGGGCTCACTATGAGTCAGGTCCAACTTGACGGCACATAACAACAACAACAACAGTGTTCAATATGTTGCATGTCCTAATTTTAAAAAATGCCACAAGTTTGGAAATGCTGACTCATGGGAAATAGACAGGTATGCCAAATAATTTCCTTTAGGGTATTTCATGTAAAAAAACAGAGAATGAGTATCACATATGTAGATTATTAATGGACAAAACACACTCTATAAAGATTATCTTCCCTAAATATTTTATTTTCAAATTATTCCTGCATGATTTGCTAGACCTGGTAGGCAATCCTTACTAGGTGCATCTGTTTTCTGAAATCCTAAATAGTATGAGTTAGAGTGTGTGACTCTGTCAGAAAAGATCAATGGAGAGAGTGGGAGTAACTAACCTAAGCATCTGCATCTAATTTCTGTGTCAAATTCTGGGCTATACACACAGACACAGCCCTACATTCACATTCTTTCTATAATGATATCACGAATATTGAGGCAGTACTTACTCTGTGTCAAGACCTCTACTAAGCACTTCATATGTATCATCTTCTCTAATGCACTTTCAGTACTTTGTGGCATTATAACTCCCATTTTTAAGATCCAGAAATCATTGCTCAAAAATGTTAGTGACTTGCTCAAAGTTAATCAACTAAAAAAGTGCTAGGTTCAAGATTCCAGCTCAGATGTTCCTGATCTCAAAACCCATATATTCCCCCCTCTACATCCTGTCAGAATATGACATGGGATAAAAGAAAATGCCACTTCTCTGTGTTCCATTGTCTTAGTTCTCTAGTGCTGCTATAACAGAAATACCACAAGTGGGTGGCTTTAACAAATAGAAATTTATTTTTTACAGCTTCTTGTTGTTGTTATGTGCCATCGAGTCGGACCCGACTCATAGCGACCCCTCCTTGGGTTTCCGAGGCAGTATCACTACGGAAGTAGGATTGCCCAACCTTCCTTCCGAGGAGTGGCTGGTGGGTTTGAACCGCCAGCCTTCTGGTTAGCAGTCAAGTGCTTTAGCCACTATGCTACCAGAGCTCCTTTCACAGCTTAGGAGGCTATAAAGTCTGAGTTCCAGGTGCCAGCTCTAAGGGAAGGATTTCTCCCTCTGTCTGCTCTTGAGGAAGGTCCTTATTCCTTGGCTTCTTGGTGATCTTCATGGCATCCATTTTCTCGCATTTCTGCTTGTCCTAATCAGCTCTTTTTATATCTTGTAAGACAAACCAAAAAACCAACCTCACTGCCATCTAGGTGATTCAATTCATAGTGACCCCTCCTTGGGTTTCTGAGGCAGTATCTCTATGCAAGTAGATTGCCCAGTCTTCTTTCCGAGGAGTGGCTGGTGGGTTTGAACTGCCAACCTTCTGGTTAGCAGTCAAATGCCTGAGGCACTAGGAACACACCCTGTATTAAACCTGCCTCATTAACATAAAAAAGGTAACCCATTCCCAAATGGGATTAAAACTATAGGCATAGAGTTAGGATTTACAACGCATATTTTGGGGGGACACAATTCAATCCCTAACATCCATACATAATCTAAGGAGCCCTGGTTGCACAGTGGTTAAAGCTCTCAGCTTTTCACCAAAAGATTGGCATTTCTAACCTACCAGCTGCTCTGCAAGAGAAAGATGTGGCAATCTGTTCCTATAAAGATTACAGCCTTGGAAACCCTATGGGGTAGTTCTACTCTGTTCTATAGGGTTTCTATGAGCTATAATTGACTTGATGCCAGTGGGTTTGGGGTTTTTTTGGTTAATACATAATATGACTATAGTATAAACCACTTGAGAAGAAAGATCAGGGGTTTCATTTCTCTTTTAGGCCTACTAGTGCAACTTAAGAGGAGCTCTGGTGGTATAGTGGTTGAGGCATTTGACTGCTCACCAAAAGGTTGGTGGTTTGAACCCACTAGCTGCTCCACAGCAGAAAGATGAGGCAGTCTGCTTTCATAAAGATTTACAGCCTTAGAAACCCAATGGGGGTTGCTATCAGTTGGAACCAACTCAATGGCAGTGAGTTTGGTTTTGAGTTTTGGAGTGCCACTTAAGGGTAATGGGTATGGGGTTCTTTGTTTTTGTTTATTTTTTGGTTATTGCCTAAAATAAGGAGCTATGGTGGCGTAATGGTTAAGAGCCAGGCTATTAACTGAAAGGTCAGTGGTTCAAACATGTCAACAGCTCCAGGGGAGAAAAACCTGGTGACTTCCCATAAAGACTGCAACCTAAGAAACCCTATAGGGGCAATTCTGCTTTGTCTTATAGGGTTGTTACAAGGAGAAATCAATTTATTGTCACACAACTACAACAACATTGCCTAAAATAGTGAACAACCAAAAAAACCAAAGCCACTGTCATCGAGTCTACTCCAACTCATGGCAACACCATGAGTTACAGAGTAGAACTACACTCCATAGAGTGTTCTTGGATGCAATCTTAATGGAAGCAGATCACCAAGTGTTTCTTCCACAGTTGGTTCAAATGACCAACATTTAACTTAATAGTTGAGTACAAACCATCTGGGCTACCTATGAACCCTAAATTAGTGAACACATGCCATGAATACTTGTTGACTGGAAACTATACACTTCTGGTCTCCCAAAGGGAGCTCTGGTGCTTCAGTGGTTAAAGCATTTGAGTGCTAACCCAAAGGTCTGTGGTTCGAATCCACCAGACACTCCATGGAAGAACGATGAGGCAGTCTGCTTGCAGGAAGTTTTACAGCCTTGGAAACCTTGTAAGGCAGTTCTACTCTATACAGTTAGAATCTATAACTGGAATTGATTGGATGGTAGTGGTTTTTTTTTAAGGCTCCCAAAACAAAACTGACTGCCAAGGTCATTGGTTTTAAAAAGAAGAGGGATGGGTTCTAGTGCCTCATTTAAATTCTGTCCTTTAACAGGTAGCCACTATCAGGGATGGAAGAGAATCTGCAGACATTACCTATGTGTGGAGTTAGCCCTTCGAGGTTTTGAATAATCTAATTTGGCTTTGCACCATATTCAAATTAATTGCCAAATTTCTGCTGTAAAGTACACTAGTGCAAAATCAACAGATAAAACAGGTTATCTAAAGAACTCACCAGAAGATCAAGGGAAAGTGTTATGTTTTATTTTTAGCATTCAGTCTAAAAATGGAAATGGGTTTCAAACTTTAACCTACCAGAAAGAAATTTACTATTTAGCTGATGGGATGTCTCAAATCAGGAAGAAATCAGAAAAGGTCCATTAGATATATTTAGTTGTTTGACAACATGTAGATTTAACAATTGGTCACTTTATCTGTAATGGAATCTAATGTCTACAACTGGAGGGCCAATGCTTTGGATTTGATAGTTACCTAATTGTTAAACTTTGTATACTGACAGTATTGTGATTTTGAGGGGGAAAATCCAATTTTATTTTAAAGCTTTTGATTTTGCTGTCTACACTCATCACATGGAGAGTTGCCACATTTTGCTTCCTGATTGCACTGTGCACAGCACAGATGCACCTTAGTGGAAGAACAGAGCCTTTGGAGGCCACCAGCAGGGCCCTTCCATCTTTCTATTGTCCAGGAATGAATAATCTAAATTTTGCCTAAGCAGGTTGTTTCCTTTTCTGGGTTTGCACTATTCTAAAATATACCATTCATATGCTGAAAAGTCAACACAAGGCGTAACACACGGACAAAAAATGCCTGCCATCAATGATGTGCATACACAGTGTAGATTTTCATAAACAAACTACCAAACATTCTCTGTGGTTTTCTTCCACAGAGGAAGAAAAAGGTATCCATATGTATAAAGAAAAGAGATGTACTCTTTAGCAGTACTTTGCAATCAGGTGACCCTCCTGAATGAAATGATCTCAGTAGTAATAATTGTGACAAAAATCTTCAGTTCTTCTTGTCTGTATTTACTTTTTGAAAATACATATAAAAAAGAAAAATTCTTAACAAGAATCTTGCACACTCCCGAGACCTGTCCTTTCCCAATACAACTTGACTATTTGCATGCATGAGTTGCTGGATTTGTGCTTCACATACCAGTGTTAAGCTCAGTGGAAGTTTACCTGGAAATCTTAGCTTAGATGGATCTTGGATGAATCTTGACTTACAGAGGTGAGAGAAAATGAAGGTCGGTAATTAGGGCGACCATTTTAAAGATAGTTTGGGGAATTGGGGCAAAATAATTTTTTCCAAGTGTTGTTTTTTCATTCTTAAAAAAAAAAAAAAAAAAAAATAAAAAAGAATAACTAAAACCTTTAGGAAATCATCCTTGGGGATGTGGGACCAAGTTTGCAACGAAAGGATTTTCCCTTTCAGGTCCACCCTAAAGAACTTGGCTTGCTCCCCGCACTCCCCTTTTAATAATAATAATAATAATAATAATAATAAACCTAAGCAAAAGCCTGTAGGAGTCAGGAATGTTTTAAAATTCAAATACCGAGAGGAGGAAAAAGCTAACGAGCCGCCGAGCCGAGACGGAGGCTGTAGCTTAACAACTAACCCAAGGTTTCTTAGTTCATTAAGCCTTCTCTCTCACATTCTCCAAGTGTCCTCCAACATTTTCCTCTATCCTGAGTCCCCAGTGCAGATGATGCCGCGATGCAGGCTGCAGACCAAGCAACAGGCGTTACGTCTGCCTCGCCCCTCCCCGACCCCCTATCTTTAGTTGGGCTGGGCAGGGTAGGCGACTGATGCTCAGGGGTGGCAGGGAGAAAGACGACCCTTCCAAGGCGACGGAAAAACGTGCTCAAGAGTTCATTAACCAAAAGCGCAGAGCGACGTTGGGTCCCTGTCACCAGAGAGGTAGCGCTGCACTTGATGGGTTGAGATTTGTGTTTTTGCATCTCCATCTCCTTCCTCCATGCTAACCCTGGAGAAGGTAGCTTTCGTCCACGCTTCCCCCCTTAACTGCTAGGTCCGGAGCCTCTGCGAGTGAAGGGACCAGGGCTCTAAATCCTTCACTTTCGAGTCCTTGCTCGTTGCTGGACGCCAGCGTACCCACCTGGCCTGGCCCTCGCCCCCAGAGAGCACCTCCTGGCCGCTGTCTGCAACCAACTCTGGGTGTCCACATTTGAGGGGTGCGCTTGGAGACAGAACCTGTCTCCAAGACTGAAACTTGATCGGCGAGATGCAGGCTTCTGAGCCTAGGCATCGGACAAGGTCCCTGGCAATCCGCGGAAAAGGCACCGACCCTTGGGGGAGCGGGCGAGTGAGCGCCTGCAAGCCCCTTCACTTTCATGCACCGCGTGGGGAAGATGTGATGGGGCGCGGCTCCTCACCCCGAATCCCAGAGGCGCCCTCCCTCGACTCTTCGACCGTCTCACGACCCTCTCCCAGCCCTTAGCCCCCTACCTCGAAAAGCTGAGGAATTTCTCTCCGGGTCAGATACTCCTTGGCATCGTTAGTGTTCATGGCTGTGCCACGCGTGCAGCGGAGCGCGAGGTGGATACTCCCGGGCTGCGGCGACCAGGTTTGGGGCTGGTAGGGTCGTAGCTAAAAACGCGTGCAGTCCCTCCCTCTCACACTCACTCACGCTCAGTCTTCTCGGTCTCAGCGAAAAATAGGGCTCCCTTCGCCTCTCCCCGAGGGTGGAGGTCTCCGCGCTCCCGCCGCCCCCGCCTCGGTGCAGGTCCCCGCGCCGAGCTGCGGACTCCGTGCAGCAGCGCCGCGGCTTCCCTGGCTCCTAAGCAGCCCGAGCGCCAGGGGAGGGGCTGAGGGCGGGGCGGAGGGCGGACAGAACCCCCAGACTGGAGGCAGCAGCCCGCCCGCCTGCCTCTCCGCTCCGCGCCGCGCCCTCCGCGCTCCTTGGAGCCAGGTCTGCTGCGGCCTCCAGTCACGCTACGCGGGCGGGCGCAGGGTGCGGAGGTGGGAACACGGGCGCGCGCGGGGAACTCGCAGCCACAACTCTTGATGCAGCACCGCAGCTAGAGTGCGACGCTTCCCTCCGCGCGCCACCCCTGGGACGCAGCGACCCTGGACCGGGTGGCCAAGGCAATAGGGTAGGGTCTCTCGGAAGCTGCTGCCCTTTGCTTCTTCTGATCTTGTGTGTGCACACACACACACATACACACACAAACGGCTCCTCTTGCATCCCCAAGGAGCTTCCATGAACAAACTCAATAGTCACACAATTTATAGTTTACCCCTAAGGGTACTTACTGAATCTTTCATGGTAGGTGGAATCCAGGCCCTTTGAAATATCTAATTCTTAAGTATCTCTTTCCTTCAGGCAATTTTGTTAGTTGGTTTCTAATTTTTCCTTGTGAGGGTCACAAATCCTTACAGACTTCATTATAAGGCCTTGAATTGAGCCTGAAATCTTCATTAACCAAAGGGTTAATAAATGTGCCATCAGTCAGACCCCGACTCATAGCGACCCCTCCTTGGGTTTCCCAGGTAGTATCACTACGGAAGTGGATTGCCCAACCTTCCTACCCAGGAGTGGCTAGTGGGTTTGAATCGCCAGCCTTCTGGTTAGCAGTCAAGTGCCTCAGGCACTATGCTACCAGAGCTCCTGGGTTAATAAATGTTGTTGTTATTATGCACCATAGAGTCAGACCGGACTCAAAGACCCCTCCTTGGGTTTCTGAGGCAATATCACTGTGGAAGTAGATTGCCCAACCTGCCTTCCCAGGAGTGGCTGGTGGATTTGAACCCCCAGCCTTCTGGTTAGCAATCAAGTTCCTTAGGCACTACTCTACCAGAGCTCCTTGGGTTAATAAATAGTCCTAGTTAATTATCTTTATGGAGAGGAGTGGAAAGTAAGGGAGAGCTGTATGTAGTGGTGGTGGTGTTGCTCTGTTGTTAGGTTGCCATTGAGTCATTTTGACTATAGAGATCCCATGTGACCAAGTAAAACTGCCCCCATAGGGTTTCCTAAGCTTAGGAACTCACCAGATCTCTCTCCCACAAAGCTGCTGGGTGGGTTCCAACTACCAACCTTTCATTTAGCAGCCCAGAGCTTAACCTTTGTCCTACCAGGCTCCTCCATGGAGGTCAGGACACCACTTAAATTGGACAAGTGCTTAGTAGGTGGGGTGGGTGGATATGCATTAGAACTCAGGAGGGTGTAGTTAGTGGACTGTGGGCCATTAGAGCACCATGGGTGAATATGGACAGGTGAACGAAGGCACTGCTAACTGAGCTACTTCCTGTTACAGATTTTTGTCAAGGTGAATTCTCATCCTAACTCCCAAGGTGACTCATTTCCCTCATCAAGATGTCCCTTCATTGCTTGTTTGTGAGATGGTCCATCTTTGTGAGAATGTGGTCTCAAATTGTGTGTAAGGCCTAAAACTGTAGAAGCGTGTATACAAGAGAAAATGAGGTTCTGGAGGCACCAGCATCTGGGGTCTGGACAGAGAGAGAGAGAGAGCCCACACTGCAACTGCTTAAAAAAAAAAAAAAAGTCTGAATGTCCATTTCAAGGTCTGGTTTGCAGACCTTTTCTTGGTTCTATTTCCTGTCACACAGCAACTGCTATTCAAGCCTTGATTATAGTTGTTTTATCTAAGAAAAGGAACTCAAGAATTCATTAGTTTAGTAAAGTAAATGAAGTTTTCCAAACACTTGTGATACCATATGTATCCTTAGATGAGGCAAGTATTTCAGTTTTGTGGAAACTGACTTCTGCCCTTAGAATATGCTACACCAGTTAGAGTCCCAGCTTCTGACATTTCTTTACTTTATTTAAGATCAAGTTACAGCAGTAGTGAAAGCATGGTCTCTTCCCTGTAGCAACACTGTTTTTTTAAAAAACAAGATCCCTAGCACGAAGGTTTTCTTTAAAAGCAGGCAGAGCTGAAGTGAGCTGCCCAGACCGGAAGAGGTAACTTTCTATAGAATTTTTCAAGGTCATCCTTTATAGCAAGAATCTGGCAGAGCACAGCTCACATCTCTCTCCTCTTCTGGTCCTGGTCTTTGAATAGATACATGATTCTAAGCATACTTTAGTGCAGCTCATCAACTGATGGGCAACTTGCTTGTACAGAGAGAGTGGACAAAGAAAACTCCATTGCACTATGAATTCTAGATGGCCTGAAAACTGTAAAAAATGGAGATATGGCAAGTTTCCAGCAGTTAGCTTTATGCATTGACAAACAGTGCTTTTTTGGTATGTTCCAGAGTGGAGAGAGATGTGTGAAAGAGGCAAGATGTTACTAATTACTTTTGCAAAGGGAGTGAAGCTTTGCAGGGAAGGGCTATGTAAGGGACGTCTAATGCTTAAAAAGTCCCTGAGTGGTACAAACACTTTGTGCTCAACTACTAACCTAAAGTTGCAGATTCAAACCTATCCAGTGACACCATGGAAGAAAGTCCTGTGAATCTGTTTCCATAAAGATTACAATCAAGAAAACCCTTTGGAAAAGTTACAGTTACTGTAACTATAACAGTTACAGTTACTTTGGAACAGTTACAGTTCTACCCTGTAACACATGGGGTTGCCATGAGTTGGAATCCACTCTAAGGCAATAAGGTTAAAAAAAAAAAAAGTTTAAAAGCCATGTTGATGATTGGGAAGGAAGGACAAAACAAAAATGCAAACTTGTCATGGGAAAGCTGGCCTGACATTTCCTGTGATGAAATTCTTATGGATATTACATGATATAAAAGTATATAAAAATCTCATGACCTTTTGCCCCCCTCCCCTTTTTTTTTACTCAGGGACTCATTCCAATGGGAAAGAGTGGAGAAATCCAACCAATGAAAATGATTACAGTATGTCAGGTGTCTCAGAATGGAATTCTTCTGTTCCCACTTTCAGAGAGTTGTGGGGTTCTGAAATATGCCAACAAACAAGACAGACATGATCCCTGCAGAAAAGAAACATATTCTACAGGTGAGTGGGCAGATGAACAATAAGCAAATGACATACACAAACAGCATCAAACCAGGCAGATAAACAGCAACAACAACAATAACAAAAAGACAGCAATAGCTAGAACATTAGAGCATATCAGATAGTGTGATCATGAAAATCAAATGGAGTTAACTCTGTTGATTTGAAGCAAGGAAGCAAAGGAGACAGAGAGTCCAGACTTGTTTGTTGGGAGTGGCAAAGGAAGTGGGAATTGAGAATAACCACTGGGATGATGACTAGGACTTTCCAAAAGACCAGACATCCTTGAGGAGGAGGCTCTTGGTGGTAATATTCCCTGGACATCCCTAGAGAGAGCTCACTATTGACACAGAGGCAAAAGACCAAGCCTACTCTGTATTACTCAAGTATCTACAAGCAGGAACCATTTGCCCCATTCATATAGAGAGTCACCACTCATCTGTCAGTTTGTCATACTATAGTGGCTTGCATGTTGCTGTAATGCTGGATGCTATGATGTTGGTATTTCAAATACCGTCAGGGTCACCTTTCTTTGACCCTCTAGCTCTTGGCCTGGCCTCTACCCTGCTAGGGGAGTGTTACAAAGCTCTTTTAGCTCTGCCGATAGGTGCACCCCTCTCCACCAGCAAGCCTCTTGTCCACGTGCACTCAGCTCTCTTGCTCCATAGGCCAGCAATCCTGCCTCTCTGTCTCTCACTGGTCTCTTGGTTCAGCTCCTGTCATCTCAGCACAGCTGTTGTCCCAGTGCAGCCGTTGTCTCAGCACCGCAATCTTGGGTCCAAGGATGTGCTCTAATCCTGGCTGGTCTTTCTTGCTGGTAATGAGATTCTCCCGTTCCACCTCTTGGATGGCTCATTAACCCTAGCAGAATGGTAAAACTGACTAAGCCTCACATTAAGGCTCCATACACCTTGTTTGTATAGCCCTACCCCCAACAGGGTGTCATGTACCTTATTTACATAATTATTAAGTTACTCAGTCCCCTTGATGGGCCACCACATCTCACATTTGCATAATCCCACTCAGTCATCTGATAGGAGTCACAAAGACCATGTCTAGAAGAACCATACTAAGTAGTTCACTGCACTGCAAGCACCATTCTAATGTGTGAATGAATGAGAGTTCCAGGTTTACTGTGCTCTCACTAATAAGGAATTATATTTTTATTATTCATTTCATCTTAATAGATAAAAATTATTGCTGTTACTATGTGCCATCAAATTTATTACAACTTGTAGCAACCTGCTAGGGCAGAGTAGAACTGCTCCATAGGGTTGCCTAGGCTGTAATCTATATAAAAGCAGACAGCCACATCTTTCTCCTGCAGAGCAGCTGGTAGGTTCCAACTGCTAACCTTTTTGTTAGCAGTGGCTGCTTAACCACTGGGCCACAGAGCTCAATTATTTGCAAAGCTGTCTGTGCCTTCACTAGGCTCTCAGTGCTTTTCAGAAAGGATTTACCTTTCTGTCCAGTACAGTGCCTGCCATGGTGTCTTACACATTGTGAGACCTGTTGTATGAGGCATTATATCACTTCATCTCACTTAATTCTCACAATGGTACCTTGAAGTAGATATTATTTTCCACTTTTGGTTGAGAAGAGAATATATTTGTGTGTCACATCACATAACTAGAAACTGATTGAACTATATACAGAAAAATCAATATTAGATGAATTTCAGACCTGAATGTGAACATTAAAACAATAAAGTTTTTTGAGAAAACCTAAGAGAATATGTTTGTGATCTTAGAGTAGAAAAACAAAGTTCTTAATGGGACATGAAAAACATTAATAATAAAAGGATAATGATAAATTGAACTACATTACAAGTAAGAACTTGGATTCCTTAAAAGACACCATTAAGAGAGTAAAAAGGCATCCTATCAAGTGAGAGAAGA